ATTTCATCATCATCATAATCAGAGGTGGGCTGCTGCCTGTTTGGACATGTTCAGGTGAACCGTTAGTTGCGACCTGTGGGTGGGCCTACCCACCCACCCTGGTGCTATCCCGTCCTATACCGTCGTGTTTTTGAAGCCACATGCATGCGTATAAGGCCATGTGAATGTGCGGAAGGCACGCGCTCACATTTTCAGTGCTGGGAGAACTGGTTGTTACAACTGGCAGCAGCCCACCACTGATTGTCATCATTATCAACATCATCTCATCATCATTTATTAAGGGTTCTTTAGAATGACAAGTGACCCTTAGAGGTTTTTTTTTTTTAAAAAAAATCTATTCCTCTTGTCCTTCAAAGTCATTTCCTATGTCCTCTATAATTAATGACCTGCAGCTCAGATGTAATATGTAATGCAAGTTAGCACATGGGTCATTGCATAGCTTCTGAATAATCTTTAAAGGCATATGTTTAAAGACTGCAGTGGCCCAAATAGGTTTTACCTCTTAAAGAATTATTCAATAGAATTCAGCTGGGTGAAGGGGTACCACCTTCATGGAAAACAGCTTTTATTTCGTTAATTCCAAAAGAAGATCAAGATTTGACACAACCCAAAAATTATAGACCTATATCCTTATTGAATACAGATTATAAAATATTTGCTAAGATATTGGCAAATAGGTTAATGCTAGTAATGCAGAAGACGATTCATGCTGACCAGACTGGTTTTATACAAGGTAGACAAATGAAAAATAATGTAAGACAAATTGTTGACATATTGGAACATCTGGAAAGGAATAACCAAATCCCTGCGGTGCTTATATTTCTGGATGCGGAAAAAGCTTTTGATCGATTAGATTGGCAATTTTTATTGAGAGTGGTCAATAGGATGCAATTTGGGAATTGCTTTATGCAGTCCATAAAAGCAATATATCAGGAACAGACAGCTCAGATAATTATTAATGGCAGTTTGACAGAAACTTTTAAAATTGAAAAAGGCACAAGGCAGGGATGTCCCTTATCGCCATTATTATTTATATTAACTTTGGAGTTGCTGTTAAATAAAATACGTAATGCAGATGGGATAAAGGGAATCAAAGTTAGAGATTATGAATATAAGATACGGGCATTCGCAGATGATTTGGTTATGACCTTAACTCATCCAGTGGAATCAGCAAAGGTTTTGATTGATATAATAAAACAGTATGGTCAAGTATCTGGGTTTAAGATAAACATTGGAAAAACAAAGATGATAGTTAAAAATATGACAGCTAATCAAAAAGAGGAGTTACAAAGGGTAACGGGATGTGAAATAGTTAAAAAAGTCAAGTATTTAGGAGTTTATATTGCATCTTCTAATGGTAAATTGTATAAGTATAATTATGAATTGATATGGCATAAAATACAAGTTGAAATGGATAATTGGAAAAAACTACAATTGTCCTTGTTGGGTAGAATAGCAGTTATAAAAATGAATGTGTTGCCTAGGTTTTTGTTCCTCTTTCAAATGATACCAATACTAAAAAAGGATGCCAACCTGGAAGAGTGGCAGAAAGGTATTAATAAGTTCGTATGGCAAGGTAAGAAACCAAGGATAAAATTGAAAATAATGCAGGACATACGAGAAAGAGGAGGACTGAAAATGCCAAATTTAAAATTGTACTATGAAGCAGCTGTTTTATCAGCAATTAGTGATTGGATTAATTTAACAAATGGAAGGATATTGAATATTGAAGGGTATGATTTGGTCTATGGTTGGCATGCTTATTTAGTGTATGAAAAAAGGGTGGACAGAGCATTTAAGAGTCATATACTGAGAAATGCTTTATTGCGTGTCTGGAAGAAATATCAATATAAGTTAAATGAAAAAATACCTATATGGACAGCACCCAGGCACGCAATAGAGAATACGAGTATAGAATGTAGACAGGATGTAATTACGTATAAAGATATTCTCATTATGGAGGGAGGTATATTAAAATTAAAATCTGTGAATGTGTTGAAAGAGGAGAAAATAATTCAAACATGGTTTCAATATGTACAGTTACAAGCCAGATGGAGAAAAGACCAGAAAACTGGTGTTATACAAAGTGACGAAAATTTAATTAAACAAATTAGAGATCAAAGCCCAATGCATATAAAAAGATTGTATAATATACTGATAGAGATGGACTCGGAAACAGAGCTAGTTAAGGACTGTATGATAAAATGGGCGCAGAATTTTGAACAGCCAATAATGATGGAAACGTGGGAAAAAATATGGGTAACAAATGTGAAATTTACCAAAGCGCAAAATTTAAGGGAGAACTTTTATAAAATGTTTTATAGATGGCATCTAGATCCAAAAAAGTTATCTCGTATGTATCCGAATGTACAACCAAAATGTTGGAGATGTAATTGTGAGGATGCTACTTATTTTCACATTTGGTGGACATGTAAAAAGGTTAAAGCGTTTTGGATTAAAATTTGGTGGATTTTACAAAATATTCTTAAAAAGAGGTTGAAATTTACACCACAGCTGTTTCTTTTGGGTATAGTTACGGATTGTACAGTTATAGAGACTAAATTGATTTTGAATTTAATAACTGCAGCAAGACTGTTGGTGGCACAATATTGGAAGAAGCAAGGTTTACCTACAATCCAAGAGTGGACAATGAAAGTTATAAATCTAGCGGAAATGGCAAAAATCTCGGCGTACCTGAAGGATCATTCAAATGAAAGATATTTAAGAGACTGGAGAAGGTGGATAGATTATATTCAAAATAAATATCGGAATAAGAAATTGCAGATAGGTTATGAATGATTATATAGATATTTAGTGTGTCTTTAAGTAATAAAGCTAGGCGGGTAATTAGGGAATTGAAGAAACAAGAGATGTGAAATGTCATAATTGTTTAGATTAGGATTGATTATGATTGTTGAAGTTTATACCCTGTAATTTGTTCAGGGAAGGGGAGGGGGGAGGGGGGAGGTTGAGGTAGGGATGGGGGGGGGGAAATATGTAAACTTTTTGTAAAACTTTTCAATAAAAAAAAAAAGAATGACAAGTGACCCTTAGAGGTTTTCAAAAAAAAAAAAAATCTATTCCTCTTGTCCTTCAAAGTCATTTCCTATGTCCTCTATAATTAATGACCTGCAGCTCAGATGTAATATGTAATGCAAGTTAGCACATGGGTCATTGCATAGCTTCTGAATAATCTTTAAAGGCATATGTTTAAAGACTGCAGTGGCCCAAATAGGTCATAATGTCAACACAACATAATGTCAACAAGTCCTGATGCTGTTGAAAGGACAACAGCTGGGCAAACGTTCTCCTGAAGGCAGCTCCCATCTTGCATCTAGTAGCAGCTGTGAAATCAAGATGATTCCCAATCATGAATCTTTTGTCTCAGGGGCAGCACCCACTGGCCCTTCAAGAGACCACAGCATAGCCAGAAAACAACCTAGATTTAAAACAGCTATTCCATCTTGTTCTAGTACATCTAGGATTTTTTTCCCATTTATATCCTGACAACCACTAAACACTGAAGTAATACTTTGACTGCATCACCAGGATGGCAATACATAATTTGGAATCACTAGCACATTTATTGATACCATATCCCAGGCAAATGGAATACCTCTCTCAATATGAATTTATTACCCCAATCCCTATTCCTTTAACAGTCCACAATATAAAGATTGGTGGTATTAAAAGCTATCAAGAAGGGCCTATCTTAGATACTATCCTATCTAAGTTCCATCAAACATCATCTAATGACATAACCAACTGACTAAAAAGGATCCAGATAATTAATTTCCTCCAGGGTGCTCTTGGTACAGATTTGGGATTCTATGCAGTAATGGAAGATTATTATAAACAAGACAGTTGACCAATAACCTGCCTTGCGTTAAAAGAGATGTAAGAATGATTCATCTCTCTTTCCATCATGAGGTGGGCCTTATTATTATTATTTCTATATAACTGTTCTTTAAATTTAAGTTTAAGGAAATTTACATGGAAATAATCTGAGTTATCTATGCATCAAATTACAAATTTAAAGCTATTCCAGCCATCTATGTGGTCAGTTGAGGAACTGACTTGAGTCCCTGTCAAATGTTAATTACTATCAGAGGTGGTATTTGACCAGTTCGGACCGGTTTGGGCGAACTAGTAGCGAAGATTTTACCTGGTTCGCCGAACCAGTAAATACCACCTCTGGCTGGCACCGCCCACACCCGCCCATTTGCCCACTCGCCCCTCACCTCTCCCCCCCTCTGGCCACTTGCCCCTTCTGGCCGCCTGCCACTCGCCCCTTCTGGTTGCTCGTTCCACCCACTCCTGCCCTATATATGTTGCCTTCGCCATGCAGCCCAGCTAATCGCCTCACCAGTCACCTCACTAATACCCACTCAGCTCAGCTCACCAAAGGTAAGCAATGCATGCCACCCGCTCGCCCTTTGCCTTGAGTTGGGGGGCTGGGGCCCCAGGGATGTGCCATTCCCTGAGGCCCCGGAGCCACAGCCCGCCTCAGCCAGGTCAGGGAATGTGCCATTCCCTGGCTCCGGCCTTGCCCCGGGGGTCCACCCGTTTGTCACCCGTCTTGGCCAGGTCAGGGAATATGCCATTCCCCAGCTCTGGCCTTACCCTAGAGCAGCCGCCCGCTCTCCCTTTGCCAGTCACATGGATTGGCCCATTTCCCCTCCTTCAGAGGCCTGGCCCTAGCTCCACTCCCTCACCCATGACCGCCTCTTTCTTTCTCTTCCTCCTGCAGCAGCTGGTGGCAGAGGGGAAGGCAAGCCAGGGCTGAGCCATCGCCGCTGGGCTCCCTGCCAGCCCACATATTGCCCCCCTTGTCACGAGATGCCCTGCTTCCTCTCCCACAACCTGTTAATGGATGGATCTAGCCCAATAACTCACAAGACAAGTATAGTTATGAATTTTCCTTTATTCATTTCAGGCCTGATTTGTTCCCAGACCTAGTTAGCTTATCAGTTACTGACCTTCACTCCTTTCCATTACAGGTACACTTCTGGAACAGCTGGATCTCCACGTGGAGCAGCCTTATATACTAGGGAGGAGGAGCCAGAAGGTAAGGTGTGTCTATGGGGGTGATGGGGTGTGTACTTAGTTAACCCCTGCAGGACTATGGGGGCATGGGGTTAAGGGAGTTAGACATTTACCCTGACAAAACCCCCTCTAAATGTCTAACTGGTTGCGGGTACTTGACGTTTATATATACATGCCACATACAATGAACATGAGTTACATATGAACACATATTTTAGACATGAGGTAAGTGTGCTGCTTATGTGGTAAGGGTTTTGTGAGTATGTCAGCTGTTTGCTCTTCGGTATCACAATGTACTGCCTTTATAAAGCCAACCTCTGAGAATTGTCTCACATGTTTGCATTTGATATCAATGTGCCTTGATCGTTGGCCTACTGCGTCAGCTTTTGATATCTCTATTGCCGCCTTGTTATCCTCGTGAATAATTATGGGGTATGTTGGCTCAGTCCAAATGTTACTAATAAAATCATCAAACCATACCAAGTTATTTGCGGCCTTGGAAAGACAAACGAATTCTGCCTCAGTGGTGGAAGTTGCTACCAGTTTCTGCTTCCCAGTGTACCAATGAATGGGGCTCCCGTTAAGAAACAGTACATAACGTGAGGTACTTTTTCTACTCTTGATGTCTCCCGCCCAATCAGCGTCAGCATAACAGGTTAGTTTTGGTTTTGTGGCTGTTTCTGGTTCGAGACTCAGTTGTGCGTTGATGCTGTAATTGAGATAGCTGAGCAGCCTCTTGATGGCATCCCAGTGTGTTATGGTGGGTTTGCTTACATGTCTGGATAGCAAATTGACTGCCAGAACGATGTCAGGTCTGGTCCAATTGGCTATATATAGTAATGATCCTATGGTGGACCTGTACAATTTGTTGTCGTTAAATGGCTCAGATTCATCATACATATTTTTTAGGAATTCCGGTTGCATGGGGGTCTCGCAGGTTTTCGCCTCTGACATATTGCATTTGGATAATAGTTTGGTGATTTTTTCTTTTTGAGAAAGTCAGAATCAATCTTGCCCAGAGACTTTAAGGAGAAGTGGCTTCCTAGCTCGGTGGCGAATTTGTCGCATTTGTCTTTATGTTTGCCTATGTATAGAATATCATCCACATAGACAAGTATGCCCTCAAATAAGTCATTTCCCCCTTTCGTAAAAAAGCACTTGTAAAGCCCATGGAGTTGAGTGCCTTGGCTAGGCAATCATACCACCTTTTGCCCGATTGCTTGAGCCCATACAAGCTTTTATTTAGGAGCCATGTGGTGCTTTCTCCTTTGTTGTACCCTGGTTGCGCTTTTACGTATATCTCTTTGTCCAGCTCGGCATGGAGGTATGTGGTCTGCACATCAAATTGAAATACTTCAAGTCCCAGGATTGTAGCCATTACCAGAGTGCTCTTGACACTCTCAGCTCTGATGGTAGGTGAGTAGGTGTCCGTGTAATCCTCTGGATACTTCTGAGCAAATCCTTGTGCAACCAGTCTGGCTTTGTATAGCGCTTTGTTATTCTCCAGTGTTTTGATTCTGAACACCCATTTGGTTCCTATTGGTTTCTTACCTTCAGGTACTTGGGCTGGTGAGTACACATGTAGGTCCCTAAGGCTTTCCATTTCTTTATCCATGGCTGATTCCCATTTTTCTCTTTCCTCCTGGGGGAAGCTGAGTATGTCTTCGTAGGAACCAGGGGTGATGTCTTTGCAATTTATGTTCATGACGTAGTCCTCCAGTCTTTTTGGAAGTCTATTCCTATTGGTTCTAATGGGCCTGCTTGGAGATGCATCTGCTACGTGCAAGCGCTCGGCTTCCTTTTCTGTTAGGCTGTCTAGCTTCAAGGTGGGGTGTCCTTCTTTCCACACTTTGGTGTTTATCTCATGAAGTTTGGTTTTGATGTGTTCATCTTCCTTTATTTTCTTTGTGGCTATTTCATCTTGCCTTTGGTTGTGGTCGTGTGTGTCTTTGTTGATGAAGGTGTCGTTTGAGTGAATTTGGGACCAGTTTGTGTTCTCATGGAAGTCTGCAGATCTAGAAACAATAAATCTGTTATTGCTGTCAATGAACCTGTATGCTTTTGTGCCTGGCTCATAGCCCATGAACTTTAGTCTCTTTGATATCTTTTCCCCTTTCCTTCTTAGTTGCCTGGGGATGTGGACATCAGCTGGGGCACCGAACACATGTAGATGGGCTAGGTTAGGCTTTCTCTTATACAGCATTTTGTATGGTGTTTTGTTTATGGAGCTAGACCACAACCTGTTTAATGTGTAATTGGAGTAATGCAATGCCTCTGACCAAAAAGTCTGTCCCAACCCAGCGTCCTCCAAAATGCACCTCATCATGGTCTGCAGCACTCCATTTTTTCTCTCTACGACCCCATTCTGGAATGGCGAAAAAGGTGAAGAGGAGTAATGCGCCATACCCTGCTCCTTCAACCATTTTGTGAATTCCTTTGCCATAAACTCAGATCCCCTGTCCGTCATTATTTGTTTTATTTTTATGTTGTGTTGCAATTCTATTCTTTTGTGAAACTCCTTAAACCTCTGAAATACTTCGTTCTTGTGTCTGAGAGAGTAGACATACCCATACCTGCTGTAATCATCCACAATAGTCAGGAAGAACCTTTTTTTTGTGTCTGATGGATGGTCTCAGTGGCCCTACTAAGTCCATGTGTATTAGTTGGAAGGGGGATTCGGTGGTTCGTTCTGACCTCCTTGGCCTTGCCTTAACCTTAATCTTTGACCGTTTACAAATTGAACACTCCAAATAGTTTTCACAGTTTTTTACTTTGAGGCCTTCAGTAAATTCCGGCATTTTCTTTACAACAGGAAAGCTGATGTGTCCCAGCCTCCTGTGGAAGAGGTGGGCACAGTTGTCATGCATTGGTTTTCCCATGGATATAACATTTTTACTAATTGGTTTACAGTCATTTGCCCCTTGTTGCACCCCCTCTATTCCTGTGTTTCCCCTTTCCTCATTGTCTGCGCTTGCGTTAATGCTTCCCCTCTTATTCATGTCAGTTGTGAAGAAGGGCAGGCCCTTCCTTATGATTACTTCCCCAATCTTGTTTCCTTGCTTTAGTATGTAGGCTTTCCCTTCCTTGAATACTATCTCACTACCTGTGTCTTTTGTGAGTTTGGTGGTGGCTAGTACGTTATAGGGTATCTCTGGTACATACAGTACCCCCTCTATTTCTCCAATAAGTGGAATGTACACGTTTACCTTTCCAAGTACCTGAACACTGTTCTGATTGGCTACCTTTAATTTGAAGTCTGTCTCAGTGAGTGATTTAAATAGTTTTGGATCACTCGTGGTGTGATTTGTGGCTCCTGAGTCTAAGAGCCACATGTTCTTTCTCATCTTTGTTTTGGTGTCTGAGTCATCGTTACTAAATCCATACATGGAGCCTGGATTGCTGTCCCTGGAGCTACCCCTGCGCTCATGATACCTTCTTGGGTTGGGGGACCATCCACACCCTCTCTCTCTGAAAGGCTTACACTCTGGAGACTGTCTCCCCCTGTTATCGCTGTATCCCTTGTCTCTGTTGTTTCTGGGGCAGTCCCTCCTTAAGTGACCCCTGGATCCACAGGAGAAGCATTCTGGGGAGTTTCTGGCCCTATCCTGAAACTCAACCTTCTTTATGGGTCTATGATCCCTTCTGGACAGTTGGCGGTCCCTCCTTAAACTGTCCTCAGCTATTAGCCTGTTGGTTAGTGACAAGTGCTCTATGCTGAGGCTGTCCAGCTGGGTTATGAAGTTGTCCCAGCTGCTATCTAAGGAGTTAATGATGATATTCCCTAGATATTCTAGTTGTTGTTGCCCTGCTTTGACTGTAAAACAGACTGTGCAATTTTTGTATGACCTCAAAAACAGTTAAGTTGTCACCAATGGTGGGGTACATAGCGGGGGGAATAGTAGTCAACAGTATATAAAAAGCTTTGTGGTGAATGCAATCAACCTCTAATGACCAAGGCCTTTTTATTTATTTTATTATTTATTATTTTATTTATTTTATTTCTATACCGCCCTTCTCCCGAAGGACTCAGGGCGGTGTACAGCCTGATTAAAAGCACAAAGACAGACAGAATTTAAAATAAATTTAAATTATTAAATGATAGGCTCAATTTCAAACCCCAAATTTAAAATCCCATTTTTAAAACCCAATTAAAATCTTTACCTTGATAGCCCAGCTTGGCGGAACAACAAGGTTTTGAGGGCACAGCGAAATCCACGGAGATCAGATATTTTACGAATTTCTGGGGACAGCTCGTTCCAAAGGGCAGGGGCTCCCACAGAGAAGGCCCTCCCCCTGGGTGTCACCAGCCGACATAATTTGGCTGATGGCACCCTGAGGAAACCCTCTCTGTGGGAGCGGACTGGCCGGTGGGAGGCTACTGGTGGCAGAAGACAGTCTCAAAGGTATCCAGGTCCAATGCCATGGAGCGCTTTAAAGGTGATGACCAACACCTTGAATCGCACCTGGAAGGCCACTGGGAGCCAGTGCAGCTCACACAGGAGGGGTGTCATGTGGGCACAATGAGTTACGCCCATAACCACCTGCGCGGCCGCATTCTGGACCAGTTGGAGCCTCTGGGTGCTTTTCAAGGGGAGCCCCATCTAGAGAGCACTGCAGTAGTCCAGTCGGGAGGTGACAAGGACGTGAATGACTGTGCGCAAGGTGTCATGATCCAGAAAGGGCTGCAACTGGCAGATCAAGCGAACCTGATAAAAAGCCCCCCTGGCCACGGCCATCATATGTTCTTCTAAACAAAGCCGTGCGTCCAGGAGGACACCCAGATTGCTAGCGATGACGCTAGCTGACTATATCACAATGCCGGGAACCACAGCCACTCAGTCTTGGAGGGGTTGAGTCTGAGCCTATTTCTCCCCATCCAGACCCACACGGCCTCCAGGCAGCGGGACATCACATCAAGGACATCGTTGGGGTGGTTTGGGGTGGAGATGTACAGCTGAGTATCATCAGCGTATAGATGGACTCTCACCCCAAAACCACGGATGATCTCACCCAGTGGCTTCACATAAATGTTGAACAGAAGGGGCGAGAGGACCGACCCCTGTGGCACTCCCCATGCAAGGCGCCTCAAAGTCAACCTCTGCCCCTCTGTCAACACGAACTGCGAGCGGTCAGAGAGGAAGGAGGAGAACCACCACAAAACAGTGCCCCCTATTCCTAACCCCCTCAACCGCTGCAGCATGATACCATGGTCGATGGTATCAAAAGCCGCTGAGAGATCTAACAGGACCAGGACAGAGGAGCAACCCCTGTCCCGAGCCCTCCACAGATCATCCACCAACGCGACCAATGCCGTTTCAGTGCTGTACCCCTGCCTGAAGCCCGACTGGTACGGATCCAGATAGATAACTTCATCCAGGTGCCCGGGCAGTTGTCGTGCCACCACACTCTCAACAACCTTCGCCACAAAACGAACGTTGGAGACCGGACAGTAGTTGGCTAATTCAGCCGGGTCCAGGGAAGGCTTCTTGAGGAGGGGCCTCACCACCTCTTTCAAGGCAGCAGGAAAGGCACCCTCACTCAGAGAAGCACTTATAATCCCCTGGAGCCAGCCTCGTGTAACCTCCCGGGAGGCCAGTACCAACCCAGAGGGACACGGGTCCAACAAACATGTGGCGGCACTAATCCTACCCAGAACCCTGTCCACATCCTCGGGAGCCACAGGATCAAACTCCTCCCAGATAGTGTTCTCAAGACCTACCCTCGTCTCCTCCCCTGGACTCATCCAGTCGGAGTCCAAGCCTTCCCGAATCCGAGCGACTTTATCGTGCAGGAATTGCACAAAATCCTCAGCTCGACCCTGCAAGGGATCTTCCCGCACTCCCCCCCAAAGAAGGGAGTGGGTCACCCTAAACAGAGCGGCTGGGCAGTTCTCTGCAGATGCGATAAGAGCAGAAAAATAGTTAGATTTTTGTCGCTTTTATCGCCACTAGGTAGGTCTTGATATAAGACCTCACCAGTGTCCGGTTGGAATCGGATCAACTAGTCCTCCAAATGCTCTCTAGGCGTCTTTTCCAATGCTTCATCTCTCTCAGCTCCTCGGAGAACCAAGGAGCCAATTGAGATCGGCATCGGGTCAGAGGCCGCAAACACACAACCCGGTCCAAAGCCCTGGCGGCCCCACTCTCCCAGGCGGCCACCAGGTCTTCAGTCGAGTCGTGTGCCAGAGTCTCAGGAAATGGCCCAAGCTCCGTCAGGAACCTTTCGGGATCCATCAGGCGCCTGGGATGGAACCATCTGATCGGTTCTGTCTCCCTGCGGCAGGGGGAAGCGGCAGGAAAGTCCAAGCGAAGAAGAAAATGATCTGTCCATGACAAGGGTTCGATATCTAGGTCCCCTCTACCAAGATCATTCAACCACTGACCAGAGACGAAAATCAAGTCCAGAGTGTGTCCCCCTATGTGAGTGGGGCCCTGAACTAATTGGGTCAGGTCCATGGCCGCCATGGAAGCCATGAACTCCCGAGCCACCTCAGACGCCTCACCTGCAGATGGCAGGTTGAAATCCCCCATGACAATAAGGCTGGGGGTATCGACCGCCACCCTGGCGATAACGTCGAGCAGCTCGGGCAGGGTCGCTGCCACGTGTCAGGGAGCCAGGTACATAGTCAGCAAACCCATCTGCCTCCCACGGCCCCACTTCACGAGGAGGGACTCACAGCCGGCTATCTGAGGAACAGTGGTCTCCCTCAGACTAAGACTTTCCCTAACAATCACCGCCACTCCCCCACCCCTCCCCTGAGCCCTTGGCTGGTGAAATGCGCAGAAACCTGGTGGGCACATTTCGACAAAGGGAAACCCCCCCTCGTGGCCCAACCAGGTCTCCGTAATACCTGCCAGGTCTGCACCCCCCTCCAAAATAAGATTACAAATGAGGGGGGCTTTGTTAACAACCGACCTGGCATTACATAACATCAGCCACGGGCCCAGGGCCTGTTTTGAGGGCCTGTTAACTAGAAAGAGTGCATTTTCTTTCATGAATGCAATTTGTAATTGTTGGCTCCACTCAATGAGATTCCCTCCATCTATCTGCAATTTTGGTAAATTAATAGTCACTGTCCCTGAATTGTTATAAGAATTACTCACAGGAGGCAGCTGTCCATGGTCCAGGATATGGTTAAACTTGCAATAAGGCAATGGGATGTTTGATGCGAGTCTATACTGACTTGTCTCTATGTTTCTCATATCTCTTGCTATAGGTGGTGACTGAGCATGCACGAAGCTCATTTTGCGCTGGAAGCCATTGTGAGAAGAGCTCGTTGCTGTGGTCCTCGGGCCTAGGCCTAGGCCGGCTGGTGGGAGGCTGGACTCACCCCTGGTGTGTCCGGAGTCCTCCCTGGATGGCAGACACCATTGCTGGGCGGCTAGATCCCCGGCGAAGAATGGGAAGAGGTGAAGAGGCGAAGCGGTTGCAGGTTGGGGACCTCTGAGGCTCGGCGGCGCAGCAGACATAAGTCGAGGATCCTCGGGGTCCTAGGGAGCGGTGGCAGCGGTGGCGATGGCTGTGGGTCCCGGTCGGCGATTACTGGTCTCTGGATGGGGAGAGAAGCCTGGTCTCGGCTTGTCGTTCGTTCAGAACTGCGATAGGAAATAATCACCAGTAACGCACAGAGAATCAGGGTTTACTTTGGCAATGATAAGCTTGCAATCAAAAGTAAAGTACAAGTCGGTGTTTTGGTTCAAAGTCAGCGCTGGGTGTAATCACACCACAGCGCTATTTAACAAAAACTCAGCCCCTTAAACATACATCCAGTGATTATCAATCAAGCACCCCCCCACTCCCTTAACAGTAACAGCTGCGAGCACCAGAGCAGCGAGGACAGCAGAATCGGAGAGGCCCGGCAACGTCATCAATCATTACCTGAATGCTGCTATCCAGGAACTGTTTGTGTGTTCGCTGCGGCTGCTTATCTCCACTCCTTCGTCTCCCACACCCCCCATCGATGGCGAGCTCCGGTAGGACTCGACAGGTGGCCCCCACTACCAGGAGCTCACCTATAAATAGAAAGCATACAAATGTTAGTCACTGTTACGATCCTGCATTAGGTTTGTCTGGGTATTTCCGATGGAACCGTTGTATCAATCGGGCAGCGTGAACATCGGGTGCTGCCACCCACGAGGCCTGTGTTACAGGGTATCCTTTCCACCGCACAAGATATTGTAACATCCCCCTATGAGCCCTGGAGTCCAATATTCGGTCTATCTCATATTGGTTGGTATGCACGGGACCCGGTGGAGTAGTCGAGGTACCTGGCCTTTCTATCGTCACCGGTTTCACCAAACTGCTATGGAATACGGGATGTATCCTATAATACGCTTCGCGTAGGTCGTGTTTCGTAAAGATACGACCGGTGGCTAGGGCAGCTAACAGGTCCTTCATTAAGGGAAGTGGATAGAGGAGCTCCACACACACTGCATTGATATCTCTGAAGTCAATGCATAAGTGTAAACCCCCATCTTTCTTCCCACAAAACAGGACAGGGGCAGCCATCTTTGATCGACTAGGTGTGATAAAACCCCGGGCCAAGTTCTTGTCTATATATTTTCGTAATTCTTTTAGTTCGGGTTGTATCATTGAATACATCCGGGGCTTGGGTAGCTTCGCCCCGGGTATTAACTCAATACTGCAATCCGTAGGCCGGTGAGGGGGCAGGGTCTCACATTCCTCCTCACTAAAGACTCTAGCGAGATCCCTATACACATTAGGATACGTCCTGTCTGCTGGTGGGCTCTCTGCTTCTATTCCCCCTGCTGGCTCCTTTTCCTCCTTGGTGGGGGGAGGTCCCAACGGTAATCGAAGTTTGCGAAAAACCCCTTCCCACCATATTGTAGGAGCCCACTTGTCCAACCATGCTAATCCTAAAATCACTGGTTCTAACATTTTCTCCACTATAATAAACCGAATAGTTTCGGTGTGCTCCCCAATATCGAGGTGCACCTTTTCTGTTATATGAGTCACTGGTGCCCCTCCCAGCAATGAACCATCCATTTGTTCAAAGGTAATAGGGGTTCTCAACCGCACAACCCGCAGCCCAAGTTCGTCAACTATTGCCCTACGAATTAAACAACGAGTACACCCTGAATCAATCAATGCCTCATATCGGCGTCCAGTGGTTGCCCGTGGGTTTCGGAGTACGACTGGTACCACAAAAGGTCGGATGGGGTCGCTCACCATCGGGTCGTGTGGGTCCTCATCGTCGTCATCACTATCCTCAGCCACAATCGGGAATTTTTCCGCCACCACTTTCTTAGTATCTGTAGCCAGGGGATCCCTCTCCATACAGGATGTTCGAGTCATTTGGGACCGTTCGGATGTTGGTCGGCCTCTGCCTCTCAACACAGCTCTAGGAGGGGGGTTTTGGTCCGAGTTGCGGGGCATGGGATGAGGACAGTCGGCTGCTCGATGACCAAGGCGATTACATCTGAAGCAACGAAACGCAGGCCGCTGGATCCTTTCCCCCAAGCCAGAGCCAGCATTCGGTTTAGTCTCCTTGGGTGTTTGTGTGTGTTCTGCTGGTCGTTTTCCTTGACTTGCAACCCCTTCACCCCGAATACGGAATTCTCGGAGACCGATATCCAATTCGATGGCTGCCTTGTACCACACACTCAACTTGGGGGGCAAGCCCCGGTACACGCAGGCTTGCCGTAAATCACGGTCTAGTCCTTTATGGAATTGGTGCACCAGAAGACGTTCTGGCCACCCCACCAACCGAGCCGCAATCTTTCGGAACTCCTGTACATATTCCTTTGCTGGTACGCCCCGTTGCTTAAGCGCAAACAAATCCCCCTCTGCAACCTGGGCGCTTGTTTCGTCTTCAAATCTGGCACGAAGAGCCTCCAGAAATCGTCCCATGTCCATGAGTTCCCTTGCATGTTTAGCATGGAGGCCTGCCACCCACTCAGCCGCTTCTCCCGTCAGGACCCCCGTAACAGCAACCACCATAGCCCACTGGGAGGGATACCACTGTCCATATTGGTCCATATGGCTTATCACTTGGCTTAAGAAAAGAGCCACTCGTTCAGGGCTTCCGTCAAAGGAAGTCTGCAGGGCAGGCGGTCCCCAAACGGCCTATGGGACCCACAGCCCCGGCGGGGCCCCCGGAGGCCAAGGCATGGGGCCTGGGGTCCTCGCTGCTCCAGTCGCTCTCCTGTCCTGCCTAGGTCGGTCCCTCGTCGCCCCGCGACCCCCAACAGGTAAGCCCCCTGCCAATTGCGTTGGTTGGGGCTCAGGACCGGCTCCAAGGTCTCCCGACGAGGCACCTTGGTCTTGTTTTGGAGGGGGTTGGTCCATGGATCGTCTAGAGGTCCGCTCCATCCTCAATTTAGGGCTTGTGAGCCAGAATTGGGTCTCCGAAGCGGTCACCCCTGTATCCTGCCAAGAAGAACCTGGAGGCTCCAGCCCTGCAACCCAGGGCTGCCAGGATGGGGCGTCACGAAATCCAGATTCCCCAAAACGCTCACGTAGCATATCCATGGTGCTGGGACCGGATGAGGCAGGATACCCCCAATCCCCTTCATCCTCCTCAGTCCATCATCTTTCCCTCCAGCCCTGGAAAGACGCTCCCAAGCGAGGGGGCGTTGGCATCCGCGGCCCGAGGAGAACAGAGCTGTGCCACCAATCCCCCGTCCGAGCCCGTTGTCCTGGAAAACTCTCCTCCTCCGGTCGGGGCGGGGCGCTCTTGGTTTGCTTGACTTTTGGTTTCACTGCCAACTGTTCCACACTCTCCTTCACCTCCTCTATCAGTGGTTCCTCCCCCTCCACATCTCCACCACACTCCTGCTCTTCCAAGGCCATCCCTTCTGCCATATCCCCCTTTGCTGCAAAGCCACAGGGACTCCTCACCTCTTGCGAAAAGGAACCAAGCGCTGACTTTCTCTTGGCTTGTCATTCGTTCAGAACTGCGATAGGAAATAATCACCAGTAACGCACAGAGAATCAGGGTTTACTTTGGCAATGATAAGCTTGCAGTCAAAAGTAAAGTACAAGTCGGTGTTTTGGTTCAAAGTCAGCGCTGGGTGTAATCACACCACAGCGCTATTTAACAAAAGCTCAGCCCCTTAAACATACATCCGGTGATTATCAATCAAGCACCCCCCCACTCCCTTAACAGTAACAGCTGCGAGCACCAGAGCAGCGAGGACAGCAGAATCGGAGAGGCCTGGCAACGTCATCAATCATCACTCTGAATGCTGCTATCCAGGAACTGTTTGTGTGTTCGCTGCGGCTGCTTATCTCCACTCCTTCGTCTCCCACACCCCCCATCGATGGCGAGCTCCGGTAGGACTCAACACCTGGTGGTGGTCGCAGGGTTGCTAGGTAGTTGGTTTTCTTTCTTGCCCCCGGGTCTCGCGTCATTGGTGCTGTGGGTGGCGAGTTCGAGTTCTGCGGTTTGTTGGTCCCGCAGGTGGCGATGCCTCTGTGCTCGTTTCCGGGGCTCGTTGTTTCCCTGGTCAGTGTTGGGCCGGTTGCCTTGTAGTGGTTAGCTGCCCCGATGCCCTTCCGTTCCTCGGGGTTCTTCTTTTGGTTCTTGGCTTGCGCGGTAGTTTTAAAAGGGGCGCCAAATGCTTCGGGCTTGGTGGGCAGGCCCTTGTTGTGTTGGGTCTGCTCTTCGTAGTCGTTCTCGGGGTACCCTGTGTAAATATCGGGGTTCAGGTCATTTCCTGCCTCGAAGTTTGAATCCCGGCTTCTCATTGGTTGCTGGCCATTCCAAGATGGCCACCGGGAAAGTGGCGTGAAAATGAAGCTGTTTTCGTCCGCTACCTCTGCTGGGGGAATTCTTTCCCTTACCGGGCTGGTGGCTTCGTTGGCTTGCTTCTGGATCTTTATCGCGGCTCCGTGGTTCTCCACGAGGCCTTGGAGTTTCGCGATGAGTTCTTCTTTGCTGGTGGTCATCTCCAACATTTTTGTAGGGTATCCCTGAATTCATCTTCTTCCTGTGGTTCCTCTCTTTCACTGTCGCTGGCTTCTTCCTGAGAGTCTTCATCGTTGGAGGGTGAGTTCGGGTAGGCATCCTGCTCACTCTCGGCTGTTGCAGTCTCAGCTGTGGCGCCTTCGGTTGCCTGCAGCTCTGCCATCATTTTCGAGTATGCTCTTGTGTTTACTCTGCTTTCTGTTTTAGAGTAAACTGCAGATTCTGTCATTGCTCAGAGTCATGAGCAACCATCCTCTGCTACCATATTGTTAATGGATGGATCTAGCCCAATAACTCACAAGACAAGTATAGTTATGAATTTTCCTTTATTCATTTCAGGCCTGATTTGTTCCCAGACCTAGTTAGCTTATCAGTTACTGACCTTCACTCCTTTCCATTACAGGTACATTTCTGGAACAGCTGGATCTCCACGTGGAGCAGCCTTATATACTAGGGAGGAGGAGCCAGAAGGTAAGGTGTGTCTATGGGGGTGATGGGGTGTGTACTTAGTTAACCCCTGCAGGACTATGGGGGCATGGGGTTAAGGGAGTTAGACATTTACCCTGACACAACTACCTCTTTCTTTGGGCTTACCTTCCTTTCACAGTGGCTGGTAGCAGAGGGGAAGGCAAGGTCTCTTTTTTGATGCCACTGCAAGAAGCCTCCCAGCACTGCCTCTTTGCCAGCCACTTCCCAGCAGCGGCAGCTGGCTGGAGGCTGCCAAAAACTACTGGAGGTCTCGAACATGCCAAAAAAGCCACTGCAGTGCTATTGCCACCCTGTTCTTCGTGCCAGCCATGCACACGCATCCCATTGCCTTTTGCGTAGCAGGGCTGGTTGGGAGCCCAGCGGCGATGGCTTATCCCTGGCTTGCCTTCCCATCTGCCACCAGCCGCCGTGGGAGGAAGGTAAGCCTGAAGAAAGAGGTGGTCGTGGGTTAGGAAGCGGGACTAGGATCGGTGCCTCTGAAAGAGGGGAAATGGGGCAATGCATGCAACTGGTGAAGGGAGAGTGGGTGCTATGCAGGAGGAGGTTTTTGACAAATTAGGCCAGGCCTGGGCAGAAAATAGGTAGAAAGAAAGGCTGCAATAGCTGTAAATTCAAATTGTTTTCCTACCAGGTTTTGTGGGCGTCGCTTGGGGGGGGTCATGTGACTGAGTGGCCATGGTCATGGGTGATGTCAAGTTGGCCATGCCCACTCAGTCACATGACCCCCCCAAGCCACGCCCACAGAACTGGTAGGGAAAAAAATTGAATACCATCACTGATTACAATGTTATACTTTCAGCAGTAAATGTATGATGTAGGAAACTAGTTGTGCTTAAATGTTCGCAGTGGAATGGTTTTGGTATACTTGTAGGTTGTGGGGAATAGTTGAAAGTG